CTCCGTGTTTTCCATATGACTCCGTGTTTTCCATATTTTTATGACGTCAGACTCCGGGACTCCGACTCCGGAACTCCGACTCCGTGTTTTCCATCTAACCAAAATCAAATGCTCCTTAATCATTTTACAATCTGGTGTCAATGGGCTAATATGATTATACGCGTTGACAAATGTTCAACATTTGGCATTAAAAAACAGTTAACTAAGTCTATCCAGTATTTACCCAAGCTTTTCGTTAATAACCATCTTGTACCCAGAACCGAAATGGGCAAATCTTTCCGTTACTTAGGTCGCTATTTTGATTTCAATATGTCTGATGAGGAACACAAATCAGAATTACTCGACGTGTTTAATGACATCAAGAATAAAATTAATGAACTACCCTTACACCCGAAAAATAAAATTCTACTATACAGTCGTTACTTGCTGTCAAAGATATCCTGGGACTTCACTGTTTCTGATATATCTAAGACCTGGATCTGCGAAACGTTAGACAATATTGCGACAAAATATATACGAAAATGGCTGGAACTTCCTGTCTCTGCAACCCTTAGCAACGTGTTGCTTCCACAAAATAAATTTGGTCTGAATATTATTCTCCCTTCGACAAAATTTATCCAATGTCAAACTGTCTCTCGATCAGCTCTAAAATACTCACCAAACGTAGATATTAACAATCTATGGGCGGTGACGAGCACCAACAAGAACGTACATTATGACATTTACAAAGACACAAAAGACGTACTTAAGGCAGTTAGAAAAGAAAACGAACAAAGACTTCAAAACCACCTCATTTCGCAAGGTTCTTTCTTTTCCAGTATCATGAATCATTCCACATCCACATCCAACTCTTTATGATCATCCGTTCAGAGCAAACTTCCGAAAAACATTTTTAACTTCACCATCCGATATATCAATAACACACTTCCAACACGAAAGAACCTATCAAAATGGGGACTATCATCAACATCCGATTGCTCTTTCTGCTCCTCACCTGAAACGCTGCTCCATGTGATTGCTGGATGTAAGACATATTTAGAAGAAGGCCGGTTTACATGGCGACACGATTCTGTTTTAAATTTCCTCCCATCCACTCTTACTGCTGTGAAAAATTCCACACTTTACGCGGACATTCATGGTTTTATGAATCCATCTGTTATAACGGGAGATCGTTTACGACCTGACCTTGTGCTGGTGACTGAAAACAGATGTCTATACATCCTCGAGCTTACAGTCGGTTATGAATCCAATCTGCAAGTTAACGCCAATCGCAAGCGTCAAAAGTACCGTGATCTAATCAATGAGCAGGAAGCAGATTATGATAAAGTCAAGTTCGTCAATTTATCCTTGAGTACCCTCGGAGTTTTTGGCCGTTCTTCTGAAAATTTCGAAGGCACGCTAAGTAGCCTTAAATGTGATGCAAAGTATAGTAAATACATAAAAAAGAATATCGTGAACATATGCATACGAACATGATATTATATCTTTTGTAAACGAAACAAGGTGTGGGATAACCCAAAATTAATGTTAATATAATCCTTCTTAAAATAATTATTGTACAATAAATATATAGTATCAATTCAAGTAGACATTGATAAACTACCTGTAAAGCGAAGTTTATCATTGTAGTTGTATATATCTTAATAATCAATAAATAAAGTTTCCATTATTATTATTATTATTATTACCATACTGTAGAGCAATAATAAAGTTTTCTCATTACTAAAGCATTGATAATTAAGCGAAGACTATATCCTTTACTCTGTTTATTTAACACAGCTTGGCCATATAAAATAATACAACATTTTTGATGTGGTAATCGTATGTCAGATAACTTTCTAGGGTTAATCCCAGGTCTTTGGCGTTTGTGGTTGGTGTAATCTCTTCACCAAGAAATGTAATTTTCGTCTCCTGAAGGAGCTTACCAACCATGCAGTTGACGAATTCCTATCAAGAATAACTTTGTCTTTTCGGGGTTTATCAACAGTTTATTTTCGAAAACCAAGTTGGGACCCATTTGAGGTCCTCGTCTATCTTCGTTTTTGAACTGGAAATATCTTCAATTGGAAATGACATAAAGATCTTAGAACCGTCTATGATGTGTACTGATCATGTTTGAAATTTGATACCTATGATTGATAATTTTGTTTATACAATTTTTTCCAGATATTATTGAATGTGCTGAGGAAACAAACACATGCCATGGCAATGCTACATGTATTGATACTGACGGTTCGTTTAATTGTTCTTGTAATTCTGGCTACACAGGGAACGGATTCGATTGCGAAGGTTAGTTTTCAATTACTGCATTATTAACATGAAAAGGCTGTTGTTATTGTCGATACTATATATCATAGCTCTGTCAATATTAATCTAAAAATATATAAAGAGAGGGTAATTTCAGGCATTGTCTCAGCGCTAGTACATCTTCCAGCTTTTACAAATATGTTACACAAATATGTTGCTAAATTGTTAATTGATATGGTGCATTAGTGCGTAATTTAATACAGAATTTACTATAATAGATTCGCATTAATATTTTATTCTTTGTTTCCTTGCCAGAAACCAACATTTCGTAGGTTTTTTAATGCGAATTGAACGCGGCAAATTCAAACATTCAACGGAATTTCAGACACATGGCTCAAGGAAACGGTCATATATTCACTACATTCTTTAATTCGTAATTAAAGTGCTTAAATAACAAGTCAAAATGAAAATATTCTTACCTGTAAAATCTGAATAACATTTTATGAACTTCCCGATGCCTTTTTTATCGTTTGGGTTTGAATTTTGATAAATATACTGTAAGTATGAACTGGAATTCAGTCAGCACAGCTATCCCGTGAACCTTCGCGCTTTGCACGTAAACAGGCACCAGGCGCCCAGACGATGCGCGAACTATCACTGCTTCATTGCTGCTGCTTGTCTTATCTGTCATGTAATTTCTGACAAATATTACAAATATTTACAAATATTTACAATCAGTTACTGACTGTTAATTTTATCTATTATAAATTGTCGGAAAATCATGAAAATTCTCTGCAATTATTCAATAAAACGTGAAAAAAAACTCAAACTTTATATTAGAAAGTAAATTAGAATGCAGCGTGGTATCAGGGGCGACGGAAAGTGTCGGCTAGATCTCGTTTCTTAAGGGGAACAAATGTAGCATTTTAATATAAATGCAACACGATATTTTTCCCAAATTTACCTTAACAAATTAATTAACAAAGATAAACATGATAGAGGAGAATTGTTATGTTTAATCACCCACGCAATTATTCCGAGTAGCGAATTCTCTCCAGAATATGCAAAAATACATATTCAGATTATTCTAAAGATAAGTGTTATTCAGTTAAAATGAATATATTAAGCCCGTATAGAATGAATATATTAAGCCCTTATAGACATTTTACATTTGTTACATCTCGGTTAAAAGAATATTGAGGAAACATTTTTACACTGCAAAATCCTGATTCTTATTTTAAGAAATTACTTAATTTAAGTTTATTATTACGTAAAACAAGCAAAACCTTACTTGTCCGTATAGTGAGAAAGTTTTTACTTACCAAGAATCGATTGAAATTCTTAGCAAGAGTATTTTTCTTAACAAGTAACCAAGTGCTTGAAATTAGAATTTTAATTTTTATTTCAAGAAAATAATTACTAGTTTAAAAAATTCTTACTTAAGTCTAGAAAGAAAATACTTGTCCGTATAGTGAGAAAGTTTTTACTTACCAATAATTGAATAATATTCTTAGTTAGCCTACTAAGAAATAGTTTTCTTAACAAGTAATCAAGTGCTTGAAACGAGGATGTCAATGTAGATGGTTATCCACTTTTAACATAAAATATCTTTTAAGAATCATACAAAACAAAAATTGTGTATTGTGGATACAAAATTCCGTGCTCTATTCAAGGAAATAAGAAAGAAAACTAAAACCAATAATAAAATATAATGATTATTTACGATACCTAAAACTGGGCAACAACGCAATTAAACGTGCGGCAGGATTTCTAACTAATTCATCAAAACGACAATAATCCACATTTTACAAAGTCAAATTACGGCTTAATGATCGATGAACTTAAAAATGTGCAGTAATATTTAAATAATATGCGGATATTAGTATCCGAAACAATTGTTCGCATATCTTAATCTGTGGTGTCAATGTGTATTTGCTTTATTCCAAGTTTGCATAAAATCGAAGGTTCGTTTGTTAGACACGATCATCAGGTTCTAATGTCGCGGTTTGGCGATGATATTTTAGGCAAAAATGACCCAAAAGTATATCATTCGAAAGCTCTTTTCTTCTGTTTTTTGTTTGTTTACATATTGTAATCCTTTTAGTATGATTACATTTTGTAATAATCCTTTTTGTAATCCTTTTAGTACTGCTTTTAGTCATATTTAGAATAATAAATTTCGGGGATCGAAAGGGGTAATAAGGGACATAGACGTAAGGGATGTTTCGAGATTCAAATGTCCGCGATTTCTAGCGATGATTATTTTTGGCGAGTAACAAATTACCACGTTATTTCCTACCAACTAGATATGTACTTATTGTAAGTAAACTCTTTTGCTTGGTAAGACAAAGTTCACTTGATATCTTATTTCAAGGCATTTCTTGCTTGAAACAAGAATTTTTTTCTTGCTAAGAATTTTGTATTTTGCTGTGTAGTCTTTTTAACAAACTTGATATCGCCGAAAAAATTTATCCATTTTGGAAAAATGCAAAAATTACAAAAGATGTTATATATGCATTTCAAAACCAGAATAGAATGCCGTTCCGAGTTCCTGTAGTTACATTTTAACAAATTTTAAAATTTCTTTCTTCAGGAAAATTTAAGAACTAATTTTTATCAACCGTTATTTCTTATGTTGCAATAAGAATTTGATTTCTTGTTTTAAGAAACTATCTTTAGTCTTAAGAAATCATATTTTCTAAGACAATTATTTGACATGGAGATAAAGAAATCGTAAGAAAACATATTCTTATTTTAAGTAAACAAAATTTAATCTAAGACTGGTGTTCAGAAAATTTTTCTTATTTCAAGTAAAAATATCTTGCAAACCAAATATTTTTTATTTTAAGAATTATTTTTCTTATTAAGAAAATCAGTTTCTCATTTTAAGAAATAATTTCTTAAATTAAGAATTATTTTCTTAATAAGAAAATAATTTTTTGAAAATTGCAGTTGAATCATAAAGGGTTATAAACAATATAATTTTTAGTGGTGTGTTATTGTCGAGAATCACAGCCTTAACATCTGAAGAGTAAAACGCTTAACGGTTAAGGAATTTGTCCAGCACCACGAAAGCCGCGAGTTTGATTCTTGGCTCAGCCAGTTTTTACAAAGTAACCATGTGGAAAGTATTTGTACTTCGAGTGACTTATTACATCTTCAATTAAATAGAATTGATATATAATTATTGAATATACATCAATTCTATTTAAGACGAATATTGAAATACTTTGATGTTTCAGCTACAGTATATGTTATGATTCAACTGCAATTTTGGATACACATTCAATACTATATTCAAATTGGATTATACTATAAAACCTATACTAAAGATCTATATATTTAGAAGTGCATGTTACGCCTCTTCCCGCCCCCTCTTCAAGAAAAGTGGGAATGTTGTCCAAAGTTTGGACATTTAAGATGATAGCGAATGCTAAATGAATCCTGAGATCTAAATAATTATGCGGAAAGAAACCGTATTATCGGAAGTAGTTTTCTAAAAGTAGATAAAGTTCATGCAAAGTTGAGCAGTTTATAACCTTATTTTTGATATTAAAGGTAGTCGATTACCGGTATATAAAATATATGCAAATTACATGATATTAACAGTATATGCAAATTAACCTTGCGACAAGTTTATTAGTTCTATTTAATTTTCTATGAAGTTTCGTAGATAATGATCAATGTGCTCTTAAGATGTTACTCTATGTTTGTTTCATCAAGTTCAACTACAAATGGTCAATTATTCTTCAAATGTATACGTTAGTTCAAGCATTTTGTGTCTTTCTAGATGTTGATGAATGTGCTCTTGGTACTGATAACTGTCACAATAATGGAACATGCAATAACACAAATGGTTCATTTGCATGTACTTGCAATGGCGGCTATTCTGGAGATGGTATTACTTGTGAAGGTACAGTGGGTTAAGTACTTAGTACAGCAATAAATATAATGTGCAAGAACTGTTACACCCTTGTTTCTAACTTAACACATAATTTCGCATCTTTTGTTCAAGCACAAAGTGATTACTATTATGCCCTACAAATCGCTGGCTAGAAATTGTTGCGAGATCAGTGGTAATAAAATATCAAAATCGTACAAATGTTGACAGAGATGATTTTGAAAATCACGTTTGTCTGGCTTTCAACATGTACTGTATAAGCCTGCTGCCCGTTTGTTTTTTTGAGTATTTTTTGTGTTTTTCATATAACCCAATGAACAAAGTAAAAATGAAAATTAAAATGGTACTGAGAATGACGGACGCTAAACATTTTAAATCAGTAGAAACATTTGAAAAATGGTTCTATCAATTAAATCACAGAAACAAATTATTGTACATAAATAACGGCGGGTGTAAACGTCTCAGTATTTTTTTTTTATTTTCCAGATATTGATGAATGTTCTACAGGAATTCATAATTGTCATAATAATGCTCAATGTACCAATACAGTTGGCTCCTTCAAATGTGATTGCCATTCAGGATACCAAGGAAATGGAACTGGTTGTGAAGGTATGTTTCAATTGGACGTATACTAAGATAAAATCTAGGACTTTGTCTGAAAGTTGAACAGAACTTAATTCATAGCACAGTACTGAGTCTGATTACAATCTAACGAAATACTGCAGTTATCGATAATACGTTATGTTCCTCATTTACAGACATCGATGAATGTATCAACGATAGAGATGATTGCTCACTAAACGCGATTTGTAATAATCAAAACGGAACCTTCGAATGTGTATGTAAAGATGGATATCAAGGGAATGGAACACAATGCGGTTAGTAAAGTAGGCCTATTATAAATTTATATTTGAATTCTATATGCATACGTTGTCTTTTAGTTTATGGGACATTTTGTAATTACTGGAACCTGAATGCTCTTAGCAGTGCATATTCACCACGAATCCCACTCTGGGGAGTGGAATTTCAAAATTAATATTCCTCGCCTCAGCTTCAGATGGAATCGCAACTTTTGAACCAATCAAAGTTAATTATAAGATTCAAGTAGCCAATCAATTTTAAGAAAGATGTAATCATGCAAAAGAACAAATCAAATTTGATCATCATTGGTGTTGTAAAATTTGTATTAGTGGTCAATAAAACTTTACCTTTACCTGCCATGTAGTATATATATATATATATATATATATATATATATATATATATATATATATATATATATATATATATATATATATATATATATATATATATGCTGGGTGTTGGTAATGATTTCTTCAGGCAAAAGTAAGCTTAAAAAACTTTAATAAGTTTGTCAGACGTTTCGCCGGTTAGGGCTTCATCAGTGACACAATCTATATAATATATATATATATATATATATATATATATATATATATATATATATATATATATATATATATATATATATATATATATATATATATATATATATATATATAATATAGTCATCCACCGTATATGGGCTGTTCTGCAATCTGATTGGTTGAATTACTCGCCGTATATCAGCTCATATACGGCGAGTAGCGAAAAACAAGATGGCGGTCCAAAAACTACATGAGCTTTGCGAAGCAGAAAAAGGAAAATATTCGCTTTGAGAAACATAATAGTACAAGGAAAAACTCTCAAAAAAAATTTGACAGGTTAGCAAAATACATTTATTACGTAGAAATTAGTTTAAATACAAGTTTTTTAAAGAATTAATACCGAAACAACAGCGAAAAAAACATGTTCATTGAGAATATAAATTGTTCAGAAAAGTTTGCAATGAACGACAAATGAATTTGCAGTCAACAAGCACTTACTATAGTACCAAACATCTGTATAATATATCTGAGCTTTCTTGTGAGATATAGAGGTTCTAAAACCGTTTCTTTCACTTCGTCTTCGAGTTGTAAAACAAAAGTATTTCAAATTTTCAAGCGGTTTTTGGCCGAACAAATTGTCAACACATTGTAACAGTGAATAATTAATTACTGCTTCAGTTAATGGCTATATTAGACTATATTATAAAACAATTATACCATTCGCTCTCGTCGCGTATATGGCTGATAGCCGACTCGGTGCTACGCACCTTGTCGGCTATCAGCTCATATACGACTCGAGCTCATGGTATAATTGTTAAATATATATATATATATATATATATATATATATATATATATATATATATATATATATATATATATATATATATATATATATATATATATATATATATATAGCTTAAGATTTTGGTTCACGAAACACAAACAGTGCTCAATACCATATAGATAGAGCGTAATATAGTTTTTCGTTTTACCTCAAAAACCACAACAGTCTGTTTCATCCGTATAGGAATCATCAGG